GATTTAAATCCCCCCGCTTCATTTGCATAAACATGGCTGCCGCTTTTTTCCAGCTCGGAGCTTTGCCGGAAAAAAGCACCAGTTTGGACAGGGATCTTTCAGAAAATAAAGCCTTTTCTGAAAGATCCCTTATTCCTCTTTAAAAAAGGAATAAGGGCTCTTTCGAAAAAGGCTTTCTTTTCCAAAAGATCCCCGTCTAGACTGGCGCTTTTTTCCAGCAAAGCTCTGAGCCAGAAAAAAGCAGCAGCCATGTTTATGCAAATGAAGCGGGGGCGGGGGGATTTAAATGCCTGTTTCATTTGCAATTGCGATGTGTCTAATTTGCATCCCTTTTACGGAAAAGGGATGCAGTCAAGACACAGCCTCAGTGTCCCAGGCAGAAAGACCAGAATCAAGCCTAGAAGAAGATAGGAGGTGGAAAAACAAGGCCTGTGAGAAGTTTGAGATTTGAAGCATTTTCCCACCCCGAACGGAGACAAAAGCCAAATCTCAAACTTTTGCGACCAACAAGCCATAAAAAGATTGGTTTCGGGGGGAGAAAACTAAAGGAAGACAATTGGTATGGGTCAATCAGCATGGTTTTTTGGTGAATTTTGTTGTAACTTTAGACTGTCATTTTCAACTAAATATAGTTCCTAACCCAAAACTTTTTGTTTTAAAGTCAGAGGTGCTCTAACACATTCAGCAAAGGTTCCCAATGCTTTGTGCTAAGAAATGTGACAGAGTTCCCCTGGCTCCGTGAAGAGTTTCAGTTCGACTAATCAGTATTTTTCATGGGGAGAAAAAAGCCACAGCTAGCTGCAGTCTCAACATAAACCTCTCCTAAAGGTGGAGTGATTCCAATCTGCAAGGCAGACTTGACATTAAACTCCTCGTATGTCCACTTAGCTGCTTCCAGAGCGTGCGAATGCAGGTGCCGTTCTGGGAATCCAATTTAAAAGCAGCCTTGTCTCAACTGAGGCATAAATAATTCTTACCGCATGCATTTAGGAAGCGGGATGTTATCAGTGACTTTCCCAGATCCCACCAACAAAGCATTAAGGGTCTCTTCCTAAAAGGGATTATGAAGCAGCTGTGTATGGGGAAGCAGAGGACCAAGGCGCGGCGTTACTCAGAGTACAGCAGCTTCGGCTGGCTAGACGCGCTGCAGACGCACAAAACGGCAATCAGCTAAATCTGCGCCAGCCTGAACTTGTGTCAGTGGCCTGAGGGTCTGAGTCCATCCCCACCGCCCTGGCACCAGCTGCCTCTTCTCTTTGTACTCTCCGCAGGTGAGCCCACGTGGCAGGGAGGTGTGAGAACAGCCGTGAAAACGATGGTGCTTAGGCTGCTAGGACGCAGGTGGGAGCTGCCAGCTGGTGACCGCTGCGGGGAGGGGAAACCCAATGGGGAAAGGAGTCCTGGCATCCCGAAGCCCCTCTCCATGATGCTTGCAAAGTGAGTTAAGAGCCTCCTACTGCTACCAGGTATCCCTGCCCAGCTCTGTGCTGCCCGGAGGCCCAGTTCCCCTCAGCGTGGCTGTTTGTGGTCCCACAGCTCTCTTTCTCCAGGAGGAGCCCAGGCTGGGGCTAGGATAGAACAGGTTAACTGGGAGGGGCCGGAGCAGCTCCCTGCCTGGGTCCCACTGCAGGCCGGGGCTGCTCCGGCC